ATTTTAAATAATTCTTAATCTTTAAAAATTCATTTTTATAAATAAAATTTAATTTATTAGTTGATTTTATTTCCTTTATTAAATTTTATTTAACACATAGCAAATTAATTAATATATTTACATTAGTTATTAACATATTTAGATAATTTTAAATTCTATTTAATTTAAACAAATATTGTTATTGCAATTTTGGTGAATAGTAGACTTTTTAAAGTAAGAGTTGACTTTTCTCCACAAAGAGTTGATTCTTTAGCCATAACAGTCGACTCTCTATTTATAGAATCGACTCTAACTTGCAATAGGATGTTCATAGCTCTTTGAAATTTGAGAGTCGAATTTTGACCATCTATAGTCGATTCTTGAAGGCTTGAGAGTCAACTTTATTATTTTAGATTCGACTTTTTAATAACAAAGAGTTGACTCTATTTTTATAGATTTGACTCTTACCTGGAGCAGGATTTTGTAGGCATTGAACGCATGGTGTCGATACTGTGGATTACATTGTAAATTATGTGTCGACACTTCACCCGTGTCGGGTTTTTGGGCTCTTTCTACAATTTCTTTGATGGTAAAATTGTAAAATCTGGTCCTCTATATTTTGTAAGATGATCACTTAGATCCAAAAACTTAATATTCATTCATTTAGGTCCCAAACAAGCACCTTTCTTCTTGCAATTCAATCCCTCAACTTTCAAAAGATGTTCAATTAATCTCAAAAACTCTTACTATTATGCATTGACAGTTCAAAACGATTAAAATTATTATATTTTAATTAATTTGTAATTTTTTAAAAATTAATTTTTATATCTAAATTTTAATATATTAGTTGAAGTTCTTTAATCTATTAAATTTTATTTAACACTTGACTCATTAATTAATATAATTATATTATTTATCTCTAAAATTTAATTTATTAGTTGATATTTTTAACTTTATTAAATATTACTTAACATTTAACACATTACTTAACATAATTATATTATTCACTCTTTATTTAAATGATTTAAATATCTAATTTAGCTAAAAAAATAATGTGGACATCCTTTTGGGTTTACAAAAGTACTTCACATATAATTATAAAATATTTTAGAGATTGGCCTTCCAAATAAAGAAAAGTGACCTGAAATTTTGAGGAATATTCATTTGCTCTCATTATTTGAATGCAATTTGTTGCTCGTGAATCCACTGAGTCTAAAAGTTTTGTGTTATTTTCAGGATGTTTTTATGAACATCTTAATGTAGTGGGAGGATTTTGATGGATAGGTTCCAGCTCCTGCAATTTTGCAGGCACGGCCTCAAATTTTCGACTGTATTTTTTAGTTAAAATTTTACTTGTTTTCCTCATCCAAATGAAAGCTAACTTGAATCTTAGGCTTGGGACCTGAAAAAAAAAAAAAGGGTTTTTGGGGAATTGACAATTCAAAATTCTTATCTTTAGTTAATTGTTTTATTTGAGAAGCTTACTTAAATTAGTAAGTAACAAATGCAGGCTCTGTGATTCTGCTTAATAAATGCTTTAGAAGTTCATGCTGGTAGTTCCCATGGAATGGGTGCAATTGCCAATCAATGAACAGGGGCCTAGTCCACTGGAAAATTTTAGCCAAGTGGTTCTTATTGTTGAAATTCACTTTCAGCAACAAGAACTATGTTGCTGAAAGTGAAGAATACTTTTTTGGGGGAAAGTGTACTATTTAAGTATCAGCAAAGTGAGTCTTGTTGATGAAAATCCATATCATTGACATGCTCTCACATTGCTAATTAATTTATGGAATTGATGCAATACCCAGTCATGAACAGTTAACCAAAAAATTTCAACAATGTGGGTTTTATCGATGAAAATCCATATCACCGACATGCTTCCATATTGCTGATTAATTTATAGAATTGGTGCAACATCTGATCATGAATAACAACCAAAAAATTTCAACAACATGGTTCTTATTGCTGAAAATTATTTTCAGCAACAAGAACCATATTGCTAAAAGTAAATAAAACTTTTTGCTAAAAAGTGTACTATTTAAGTATCAGCAACATGGGCCTTGTCGGTGACCATGTTGCTAATACTTAGTTGCTGAAAACAAAAATTTTAGTAACTCCATTAGAAAATTCGAGAGGGGGAAACTTAGGTTCAGGGTCTAAAATATTTGAGGCGGGGAAGGAATTTAGTGTGATCGAGAAGTGAAATGCACACTTCACCTAGTCCTCAAGTTAGATCTGACGGTATAATGCAAGTTACCTATATGGTAGTATAATAAACGTTTCTTAATTTTATTTAAAAAAAATTAAAAAATTTGAGATCATTTTAATTTATATATATTATCTTTTAAAAAAATAATAAAAAATTTATAATAATAATAGGAATGATAATTAAAATTAAAAGATGATTATGAAGCTAAATAGGAGAAAAATATTTATCTCTTTCAAAATACAAAAAAATGATCATTACTTTAAGTTAAATTGTAAATAAAAAATATCTATTATTTTGAAATAAGAAAATAACAAATATTTTTTTATTGACAATTATGAGTATAATATTAAGTAAGATTATAAATTTATAATTAAAATATAATATTAAATAAGTATAACAAGTCATTAAATGAATAGATATATATATAATATGAAAATAGATATCATATTACCCTAGGAAGCGTGGTTAATTTGGGTTAAAGTGTTGTCTTGATGTCGTATAGAGGCTATGTTGCCGAATATATTGAGGGGTAGCAGAATTTTTCTTGTATGGCTTGGGTAAGGTGATAAGGAAGGAGTTGGGAGCATGTATTTTTCTTGTTACATCCTGGTACATATGGTATTAGTGGAATTGTAGAGTTTTCAAGGGGGATAGGCACTCTAAGGAGGGATTGTTGGATATGATATATGCAAACACATTTTTCTAGATTATAAAAAAGGTGTAGGGATATGTTTTTTCCCTTTTTGATTGGAAGGTTAATCTGCTTGAGAGTGCTGTAGCGATAAGAAAACATAAAAGGATGTTGAAGGTGTTTAATAAGAATCAATAGGCATGTGTATTATGAGCTCACTGGGTGGGCTGGTTGTTTTTAATGTGTTATTTGGGTTTTGGTATTAGTTGCTAGAAGGCGTGTTTATGTTAATTTTATGTTTTTGTTAGTTGTATACTAAATTTGTATATGGTTGGAGTACTCCTTATACTCTGCATAATAAAAGTTATTTATTTTGCTGATAAAAAAAAAATCATCTGTAAATCATTTTTGTGAGAAATTAAAATCCCATTGTCACCTCATTTATGTATTAATTAAGGATTTGTAATGTATATTCTGCTTGAGTTTTAGGGATTGGATGTTTGGTATATTCATATGTACATAATTGAATCTTGTTCTGGTTTAGCTTTTAGTAAGTTTATAAATGTATGGCTTAGAATATCTATTGTACTCTTTGATAATAAAAATTTAATTTATCAAAAAAAAAAGTTGATTTCAACAAACCCAGGGAGTAAACAGAGAGATGAGAGAGAGAGTTAGTGATAGAGTGAGAAGGAAAGGACCGGAGATCGGCAGCAGAGCACGAGGGACGTGGATAGCATAGCGTTTTGAGGGTAACCGCCTGGAGAGAAGGGATCAACCACAACAGCATTATGGGGGTTTTGACAAGAGAATCTTCAACCAAGCAATTCCATTCTTTTTCACAAACTTTCCGGAAGAGTGGACATTTGAACAGATGTGGAGAACTTTCAATAGGCTGGGAGAAGGTCAGGTAATTGATATTGATTGCCCAAAGAAGAGAGACTGCATGGGGAGAAGGTTCGGCTTTGTCAGGTTCTTAGAGGTGTGAAATGTTGGAGAATTGGAACGAAAGCTAAATCAGATACAAACTGGCGGGTTCAAGCTACATGCAAATAGGCCACTCTTTGAGAAGACAAGGAACGAAATTCACAGAGACAAGAACACAGCCAACAAGTTGAGAAGATTGGAGCCGCTGGAGATGGGAAACCAGCGAAAACCAACATTTGCGGAGGTAGTACAAAGGAAGAAAATAGACAATCAAGGCTATGAAGCAAAACAGGGACAGCAACAGGGAGTAATGTACAGAGAGGATAATATGAAATCAAGGGCGAGGGAGCAAGGAAAGTGGAGATGGCGGCCAAAACAAAACAATCCAGTATGGTCCGGAATGGAGTTCAAGGTTAATCATGAGGAATCTGAATGGTTGGAGAAATGTTTTTGTCACGCCCCAAAACCCAATTTCGAGACGCGACAGACGCCGTGCACTCGTGAGACGGGTCCCGCAAATGTACAAGGCTCGGAACTTATCACACCACAATCTGATACCATCAAAATCTGAAGATCAAATTTTTAAAATTTACTCTGATATCATAAAATCTCCAAATACAAGATCATGATTCATATCTAAAAATCTATATCAATCTCGAAATGGCTAGCTTTCTAACTCGTCACTTCCCGTGGTTTCCCCGTTCTCGATTTCACATCCTGAAATGGTGGACAAGGAAAACTATGAGATAAACTCAGTAAGTAAATATGGAGTGCCCCTTATTTAAACTTAAAGCATGCCACATGTGCAATCACGCAAAACGGATATAGTACGAGAACGAAATAGACGTCTCCTCTATAGGTCACGGCTAGTGTATAATCCCCACTAGCAGGGCCACGATTTGCTGGTGTATAACGCCCACTAGCTGGGTTGAACGAACCGGCTCTTTCACTAACATGTCGACATGTGCTAGCGTTTGTAACCTCCCCTACTAGCGGGGTCATGAATAACATGACCACATCGGAGACAAAACAGGCAGAAGTTAACAGGAAAATCACGATTCACAATCACTTTTAGATCATCAGGACAGTCACTTAAATTTCAAGTAGGCACGCTCAATTTCATGAAAAGCACAAAACATTTCACTTCAAATCAGTCATACTTGTGTAAAACGGGTTTAGTCTCGCCACCACTTCAAAAACAAATCAAAACATGCTTTTAAAACAGTACGGGAATTACCATAAATTTACTTACCTCACTCGCAAAACCAAGCACTCAATTCACGTACTAAACTGACAGAACGATCAGGAACCTAGTCAAAACACCTCCGAATTAATACCAGACTATCACAAATTCAAGCTGAAATCATCATTAGGATCATTCCTAATCACAATGCTATTTCTATCACTTTCCACATGATCGGACATCTCCAAATTCGTTCTCATATCACAAACTAATCATTTAAATTCCCGTTAATTGTTGGCCCTCTGGGTGTGAACAGTAACCAGTAATGCCGGTGAACAGTGACCCGACGTGAACAGTAACTCTACTTCCAGAATTGGCCAAAACACTAGCTAATCTCACGGGATTTTCCTCCAAAAATCACATAGTAGTCCATTAACACTCAATCATATAAATTCCACTTGAATTAGTGCTTAATCATGGTCCTAAAGCTACCGGAATTATCCCCAATTTTCTGCAAAATTTCGAACACACAAGGCAGCAAACAAAATGGGCAAATTAAGCCTAAAAAGGCTGCCACATACCAGAATTTGCAAGCAAAAACTGGACTGCAGGTTGGGGAAGAGCCGGCGGCATGGAAGAAGAAATCCTGCAGGGAACTCACGGGTTTTACCCCAAAATTAAAGGAGCCCAACTTAATCAAAGCTAAAGAAGGGAGAATTCGAGCTATTTCTTACCAAAAAACCAAGCAATTCACCCCCACAAAGCAGGAGCAGCCGGCGGAAGGACAAAGCAGAGCAGGGCAGATCCGGCTTTTCCAGCAGGGGGGGAAGATTTTTGGGTTCTAGGTGTGTTCTAGAGCAAGAAAGGAAGGAGAAAACCAAGCTTTCTACCGGTTTCCTCAAGCATGGCTGTCGGGTTCCCTTTCTTTTTCTTTCGAGTGGCTACAGCGGGAAGAAAGGAGAAGAAGAGCAGAATTGGGCAAGGTTGGGCAGAAAAGAAAGAAAGAAAAAGAAAAAGAAAAGAAGTCATCCTTATCCAAAATCTTTCCCTCTTTAAGTCTCTCAACTTTTGAAATATTTATATTAGGCCCCAAAACAATCTTTTCTCACAATCAAGTCCTTAACTTACACTTAAATATTCCCGAAAATTTGGGATATTACAGTTTTGTAGGGATAGTACACTCTGCAACAATGATTCCAACATTACAGGAGAAATTCTTCATGGAGGGAGTTTTTTTCTGCAAAATCAGAGCAATGGGAGGTAGAATGGTCTTATTAGAAGGGCATGACTATGAAGACTTAAAAGAGCTGGTTGAAAATGGCCGGGATTGGCTAGGATGCTGGTTTTCAAAGATCAAACCATGGTCTTCAACCACAATTGCAGTAGAGAGGTTTGTGTGGATAAAATGCTTGGGATTGCCCTTACATGCATGGAAAACAGAATATTTCCAATCTTTTGGAAATCTTTGGGGCACTTTTGTGTCTCTTGATGACAGCACAAGCGGGAAAAAACGCCTAGATGTGGCCAGATTTCTCATAACAACACCCATGATGGAATCCATCTCCAAATCCTTAGACATTAAGGTTAATGGGGTTATGTACCATATCAAGTTCTTTGAGGAGGAACACAGCAACGGCTTTTACATAATGGAGTCGGATTTCAAAATCAAAGGGGACAATCACATAGATGAAGATTACACAGAGGAGAGCTCCGGCGAGGAAGAACACAACTCAATTGGCTCGAAACCCAAGCATACAGGGGAAGGCGCAGAAGCTGAAATTGAGTCAGTAGACTTATGGGTACCAGAAACAGTGATGGAAGAAGGTGAAAAGAAACTTGATGAGGTGGCATGCATACTGGACAACACATCAACACAGAAGCCAATGAACACTCAAAATGGTCAACAAAAGCAAAAGACTGACACAACTCAAGAATTCAAATCTGCAGATAACATGCAGGAGGAGGAGACGGCAAAGAGGAAGGAGCCAGAAGGGATTGCAATGGGCAGATCTGTAAGAACATCCAACAAGCATTTATTGCTCGAAGGGCTCGGCGAGGATGTCAGACAGCAAAATACAAAGATGGGAGAATGCAGCAATGACATGGGGACTGGAAACAATTCAAAAGAGGGCTTCAGTGTAGAAGGCTCTTGGGAAAGCAATGCAAATAACACAATGGGCCTGTCAAGGAAGGCTGGAAGGAGAAATGGGCCTACTGGATCAGGAAATATAACAAAGCCCAAAGAGAGAAGTAATGGGCCAAAGGATAATGGGAATTCTTCAAGCCCATTAGCCTTACAAAGGCCTAATGTAATAAAAAAAAGGAGACAATAGACGGCACTAGAAGATACAGGCTTCACATGGGAGATCTCTAAAAGTGACGAAGGGGAGCTATCCGAATGGATGATGACGAGGGAGAAAAAGAAGGAAAAAAGGAAAAATCGAAGAGTGAAATTGTGCTGAACAGTATACATGTAATCGGGAAGACTATAAGGCTTTCAATTACAAAGAAAGAAAAAGGGGAAGAAGCTTGTAATAGAGAAGATGACACAGCAGGTTGGCTTTGAAGCAGATCCGGCTCAAGTAGTGGCGGGTGACTCCATTAATGACAACAATATCCAGAATTGCAATACGAGTATCACAGTGAAAGACAACATCAGAGACACAGAAGCTTTATGGAATCGAATTAAGGATCTGGGGGTCTCAACAACAGGGGATGAAATACCGGTGCTGCGCAAGCTTGAGCTGCGCAAGCTTGAGGAGATGGAATTGCGAGATAAAGTAAGAAAAAAGAAGGACAGTGCAAACGCTCCTAACCAGGTGCTTGATAAATTTTCATAATTTTACTTTCTTTGAATATTAGGGGGTTGGGAGGGTGTGGGAAAAAGAGAGAAGTGCGGGAGCTGGTGACTAAACAAAAAGTAGAGATTCTGTTTCTGCAAGAAACAAAAGTAGATAAAGTGGATAGGAGTTTGTGTAGAAGTCTGTGGGACTTAGATAATATGGAGTGGGTGGCATCACCTGCCACGGGAACCTCTAGAGGATTAATTACCACTTGGAATACTGATTGTTTTAAGAAAATTAATGTCCTTGAAGGGGACGATTTTTTGGCAATCCATGGACTATGGGGAACGGAGAATTATCCATGCTTTTTGTGCAATTTCTACTCACCATGTGATCT